CATGGAAAGGGAGCTCAGGCCTTGGCAGGGGCTGCCCAGGGAGCTTTGCAGTGCCCATCCCTGCAGGTGTGCCCTGGAGGTGGCACTGAGTGCTCTGGGCTGGGCACAAGGTGGGCACAGGTGGCACTGCATGGGCTGGCAGGGCTGTGCCAGCCCCAGGGATTTTGGGATTCTGGGGAACTGTTGCATTGTGAACTCAAAGGCAAGAACAGGAATTTTGCATTCTCTGTGTGTTCCTTTAACACGTTGGTGCTCTCTGGGCCCTGCCCACTCCGTTGCTGATCCTGACAGGAAGGATTTGGCTCTGGGAGTCATTCCTCAGGCTCAGCTCAGGCATCACAGAGCCATGGAATGGTTTGGGTTGGAAAGGACCTCAAAGCCCACCCAGTCCCACCCCCTCCCATGGACAGGGACGCCTTCCACTGTCCCAGGCTGCTCCAAGGCCCAGCCTGGCCTTGGACATTTCCAGCCACAGCTGCTGTGGCAGAAAGCGAGCTGATAACCAAAATCACATAACCAGTCTCTATGAAAAGGTGTATTTTCAATAGGATATGTTTTGACTCCTTTCCACTTCTCTGATGGTTTGAGTTTTACCAGCCGTGAGACCAGCCTGCTTCAAGTCTTGCTCCTTTCCTCAGTCTCTTGGGCCTAATATTTGATAATTTGGGCATCGGGCACAGCTGGGACTCCATGGGCTGGGAGGGCTTTTCCAATCTCAGGGATTCTGTGATATTTTACTTGGAATGATTCACGTTAAATGCACAATACCTGCACAGGAAAGGATGGCACCTGCTCAAGCAGTGGTTTTCTGTTCCACATCCCTGTTTTTGTGGGGTTCTACAGGTTCTTCATGTTGGAAATTTGCAGTTGGTTTTTAGTTTTCCACCTCACTGATTATTGTTGAGCTGTTCCTTCCTCACTGATGAAGGAGCCTTGATTGGATTTCAGCACTTCTCCATAGGAGCCCTGGCAAATTTACGGGATCTGCCTGAACCTGAGGGGTTTGTCAAAGCTGCTGCTCGTGTTTTATGGTGGATGTTGTGGCGCATCAGGGTAATCACAGCCGGGCTGGTTCAGCCTGGAGAAGGCTCCAGGGACACCTCAGAGCCCCTTGTGGTGCCCAAAGGAGCTCCAGGAACGTCCTGGACTGGGGACAAGGGATGGAGGGACAGGACACAGGAATGGCTCCCAACATCGAGGAGCTGATTTAGGGTAAATATAAGAAAGGCATTTTTTACCATGAGGGGTAAAACTGGCAAAGGACATTGGGACAGTGGGAGATGTCCCTGCCATGGCACGGGGTGGAAATGGATTTTTAACGTCTCTCCCAACCCAAAGCTTTCTTTGATTCTGTTAAAAATGAGTTTAAAACTTGTCAAATCTGTTGTGTGATCACCGAGTCCTGCTGAGCACTGATTTATTAATCTCTTTTGGAAATCACAGGAGTTTTAACAATTTCTTGAANTCCAAAAAAACAATGGGCTGAGTGAAGCAGAAGGTCAGCAGGCTGGGTTTAACAGGTGCCTGATTTTTTGGGTAGATTTAGAAAGACTCAGGCTGATTATTTAATGAGAAAAAGCAAAAAAACCCTGCAGAAATTAAAAATACACCTGATATTTATATTGGTATTTCTATTGGTATTCATATCAGGCCTTCTGCACAACTTTGACTTTATGAGGTGAAATTGTTTTGCTTGAAAAGTTGCAATGGACTGGAATTTTTGAGTGGGAAAATCCAAATTTTTCCATGTGGTGTAACTGACTGCCATGGGTCCCACAGGATCCACTGATGGATAATGGAAAATCAGAATTAACTCACTGAGGAGAACCCCCTCAGTCCTGGGGGCATCAATCCCAATTACTGAAGGTTAGGAAAAATTTCTTGGCTTTTTCCAGGCTGAAAAAGCTGCTTGGCCATCCTTGCTGCTGGTGGAATTTGGGAGGAGATCCCAGGAGATCCCGTTCTGTGTCCATGCAAGGGCACAGGTCCAAAAAAACAATGGGCTGAGTAAAACAAAAGGTCAGCAGGGTGTATTGAACNAAAAAAAAAAAAAACAAAGAAAAAAATGTAAACGTAGTAAGTCTTCCTATGCAATTAACCTACTCCAAGCCATGGTATGGTAGGTATAATTATACTATAATGTGTAAATATCAGATACATTGAAACAGACTTAAAAATATGAAAGTAAAAGTTGGAGGCGTAACAGCTAATTTGGAGTTTTTAATTGAAAACCAGTGAGGTCTGCAGGTCGCTGATGTGTGAGCAGAGCTCTGCTCGATGCCCATGGGCTGTGCTCGCAGCTGCAGCTCTGTGGTGCTCATCTCTCAGGCCGAGTGTCCTGGTGTGCTCTGCAGCTCCCTCCCGTCCCAGCTGAGCTGCTTTTGGGGCCACGGAATGGGATTTTGGGACTGGCCTGGTGTTATCCCCGAGCCCAGCCCAGCTCCTCCTGCATCCACCTCCCGGGCTGGGGGTGCAGGAGGAGCTGGTTGGGAAAAAGCTGATTTTGCTGCAGGTTCTGCCAGGTTTTCCAGGAGTTCTCTGGAGTGATTCAGCCGGGTTATTCCCAGCTCCTCCTTCAGCTCTGGTGGCCACCAGAGCCTGGCACAACAGGAGGAACAGCTCCACTTGGAAACTGTTCCACGTAAAAATATATTCACTTGATGAACCTCCTCAGATCCGTTAACTGTAAAGCTCTTGTGGCTCTTCTGAAAGCTCAGGTGTTTTCAAACCTATTGTGAAAGCTGGAATTGCTGCCCCAGCCCTGGGGTGCTGCCAGCGCTGCTGGGCCTGTGCAGGAGCTGCAGGTGCATCCCTGGGCCTCTCTCTCGGTTCCTTGTCTGTTCATCCCCGCCAGCATCGCAGCTCTCGGCCTTTCAGCCTCAGTTCTTGGCATTAAAAGATTGTAAATGTAGGTGGTTCTCCATGCTGATTGCTCAGTGCTGGGGAATGGCGGCTGTGCCAGGATTTGGGATTCCATCCTGTAAGTACCGTGGTGTCTGCAGGGGCCTGCATGCCACAAGGCTTGGATCCACCGGGAAATGTGACTTCACCTCCATGGTTTGTCACTCTGCCATCCTTGTTTCCATCACACCATCCATGTGCTCATGCTTCGCACTGGACAGCTGAAAAAATCTTTGAAGATCCTCTGTGGAAGAATTCCTGTTGAAGCCCATCAGGA